ACAGGAAATTTCTATGCAGTATAGGCCTACTTGTTCCGGTTTGCAGTAGCGCTACTGTGCTGTAACATGGTGTAGGCTAGTTCAGCTGTACTGGGCAACGCTGGTAAAATAATGCTACCTTCAGTGACGCTATGCTCTACTCATATGCTCTGATAATAGCTTTGTAGGACTATACATTATTTGGACTATACAATATTGAGCGGAGCGTCAAACCGCGCAGTGATGAGGAGAGTGAAACCTGTGCGCTGAACACTACCGGGTGGGGCGCGGCGCGCCATATAAAATATTATATGTAGCCTATATTTTCGGCCAATAATTTTCAGCTGCCGAAAATTCGGTGCATCCCTAATTTTTAGTATTATCTTTTGCTTAGTCAAATTTTGTTTTGTACAGTGTAGTAATGTTTTGCACAGTAAAGTTTTGTTTTGTGCAATCTAGTTTTGTTTTGCAAAATGTTGTTTTGTTTTGCGCTCCCCAGTTTTGTTTAACATATTCTTAGCTTTATTTTCTTTGTGGGATCTCATTTTGTTTTGCACGGTCTAGTTTTGTTTTTTTGCAGTATTTTGTTTTGTGCATTTTAGTTTTGTTTTGCACAGGGTCATTTTTTTTTTTTTGGCTCAATCTAGTTTTATTTTGCACAATATAGTTGTGATTTTGGCAGGCTAGTTTTGTTTTGTGCAATCCATTTTATTTATTACAATGTAGCCTAGTTTTGTTTCGCACATTCTAGCATTGTTTTGAGCAAAGTATATTTTGTGCAATCAAATTTTGTTTTGCACAGTTGAGTTTTGTTTTGCACGTTCTACTTTTGTTTTGGACAATGTTGCTTTGTGCAATCAAATTTTGTTTTGCACAATATGGTTTTGTTTTTCACAGTCAGGTTTTGTTTTGTGCATTCTGTTTTTGTTTGGAACAGTCAAGTTCTGTTTTTGCAATATCATTTAGTTTTGCACCACAATGTTTTTTGCTCACTCATTTTGTTTTGCGCTATTTAGTTTTTTTTTTCTGCAGCCTAGTTTTGTTTTACAGTCACTGTTTAATCACTGCACCATGAGACCGCCACATTATTTACATTTTTGGAAAGAGACATCACAGCATAATATGCTCAATACTTACCATTCAGTGTACAGATTCTAGTTGAATCACAGATATGAACACTGAGTCACACTGCATAAGCTTATCTTAAAAGTTTTGTCAGAAGCACTGGTGTTCATTGGTATTCAGACTGCCCCACTTGTCCAAAAGCGTCTTTGTTGGGGCAGGTGCTGTCTGGCCTCACAAGGGCAGAAAGTCTGACAGCACTGGTTTCCTGTAGCCGGTGATATTAGCATCCACTTGTGTATGGATCCTATGTGGGCAGTAGCTGTTCTTCCTGCCAGGATTGGTGAGAGGGTGGCCGGCTGCCCGCGTGTTCCCAGCAGGTGTCAGCCGGGCAGATGTACCCGCTCAGAGAACAGTAGTGGCACTGTGGACACAGCCCTCCTTCATCAGTGCGGTCGTCACACTCGTCTCTCTCAGAGCATCCTGCCCACCCCCATAGTGGCCACAGATCATTAGCTTCTGATACTAAGTGTATATAGTAAGGCCTAGTGGTTAAAGATCTGAGCTGGTAACCTAAAGGTTGCAGGTTTGAACCCACAATGGATCAGATATCATCACTGTGCCCTTGAGCAAGAAATAATGCAGCCAACATATGGAAGTTCTGTCATCATTTACTCATTCTCATGTCTTTTCAAACCTGCATGCTTTTTTTCCTATGGAACCCAAAGAAAATATTTTTAAGAATATCTTAAGAACTGTTCACACAAAGAACGATAACTATATAAAAAACGAATCTTTTTTTATTTATGTGTGATTCTGCAGAAAAAAGAAACCACATGCATATCATGATGATAAATGATTTGGTTGTTTTCTACAGTTTGGAACTTTGGTATCTTGTTTGCCAGTAAAAAATATCTAAACATTGTTAGTCATGAGATATTTCCCTCTATGGAGGTCAACAGCAATGAGAAACTGTATATCTACATCAGTGTCCATGTGTCTGTGGTTTTCTAGATCTGTGTTTCAGAGTTCGACTGGTTCATTGAAGATTTTTGGCTGAGTTCATTTTCAAAAGCAAACTAGTTTGTGAACACTCTATAGCTCAGCATATGAAATCTGTCTTCCGGAATCATTTTATTTAGGTATTATTAATTAGACATCAATCAGTATTTGAGAGTGAAGGTTGTTTGCTTGCCAGAAGTTAAAGTCTGGTGTGAAGCACAGAGAAAAGTTGAGGTGTTGAGCGTCTAGTCACTGAGCTCTGTCCAGACCATCTGTTCATGTGGAAAGACCTTCAGACAAGTGCCTTCTGAAATATGTCTTCTGTTTGTCATTCGTAGTGTGAGCCCAAGATTTCCCAAAAACACATAGTGAGATGAGTCCAAAAAGTAGGGCAGGTGAGTGATGGAGTTTGTTTGTCCCTTAAAGTACCCTCAAATGTTTATAAAAAAGTATTCCTAAGAGAAAAACAGAGATGGAACTGGTGAAAAGAAAGAAAAAAATAAACTTTAAGTCAATATCAGGGATATGCAAAACAATATAGTGTCAGAATAGATTTGGTGGGATGCCTAAATAACTACTGTAGGTTTTTTTTAGGATTCGCTCACATAAGACACATTCAAAAACAATATAGGATGTGTTGGAATGGAAGAGAAAGTTGTGAATTTTTACAATCTGGACTATTTATAACTTAAATAACAATGTGAGATATGACGTATAAGACTATAGTGGATTTAAGGTGGTTTAAAGGGGATGAATTTAAAGGGATAGTTCACCAAAAAATTAAAATTATCCCATGATTTACTCCATCCTAGCCATCCTATATGACTTTCTTCTTTCAGACGAATACAGTCGGAGTTATTTAAAAATTTGTCCTGGCTCTTCCAAGTTTTATAATGGCAGTGAATCGGGATTGAGATTCTGAAGACCAATAATGTGCATCCATCCATCATAAAAAGTGCTCCAAATGGCTCTGGGTGGTTAATAAAGACCTTCTGAAGTGAATGGATGTGTTTTTCTAAGAAAAGTATCCATATTCATATATGATCGTGGTTTTGCGCAGCTTGTCAGTGAACAACGGCTCTGTGTAGTAAATGTCAAAGCACACTCGTGATGGAGATTTATCGCTGATTACAGAACCGGCTTTACTGACAAGATGCGCATTAAATATCGCATGCGATTTATCGTGCAGCCCTATTATAAACCGTAATCTCTAGCCTCCGCTAACTGTTGTACATGTGTTCACAAGAGATTGGAAAATGCGGTGACAAATGAGGAAGCACAGAGAAGAGAACAAAACAAAACATTGGTCACGAATTAGAAGTACAAAACAAGGATTTGTTAAGAAATATGTCAGAGGATTTCGATTTAAGCCAAGAGGAGACTGGTTTTCCTTTGCTGTAAACAAAGCTTGGTTCTCACGGGACTACCATATTCTCATATTCCCCCCCCCGCCCGGAGCCGCGTGGACTGTGGAGTACTTTTTATGATGGATGGATGCACTTTACTGGGCTTCAAAAGCTCGACCCCTATTCGCTGCTACAGTATTATAAGGCTTGGAAGAGCCAGGACATTTTTTAATATAACTCCGATTATATTCGTCTGAAAGAAAAGAAGTCACATACACCTAGGAGGGTGAGTAAATTATGGGGTAATTTTCATTTTTGGCTGAACTATCCCTTTAAAATGCAAGTTTTCTGAAAGGTTTTTACTGTGAAAACTGCTTGACATGCTGTCAGCAAATTAATTAGCACTACCGCTAAAAATATAAAAACTAAAAAGAGATTCATGAAAAAATTGAATAAACTAGTCAACCTCAACAGCGGACTAGTTTGTGGTTGGATTAGTCAACCATTGTGACCCATCCTTTGGGAATACATATTTTTAGCTATTTGATGCTGAACTCAGCAAGACGTTTTGGGCTATAAATTCTTCTCCCTTGTGTTTAGCCTGCAACAGATTGTAGTGTGGATGAAAAAGCTCATGGTAGGCACAGATGGACAGATGTTCAGAGGCCTTAATTGCTTGCTTTGTTTGTTTTTCACCAGTTGTTTGCGCTGTTGAAAGCAAAACTGCTATAGGCTAATGGTGACCCACATGCAGAGGAAGTTAGGATTTCATTGCTGAAAGTGCACAACGCATATTCCTAAAGACTTGTATTAGCACTTGATAGATAGGTACACTTAAGTGTTATTATGCAGAATTATGCTGAAATGGAATGATCATCATTCACAAAGTTCTACACATCCAGTGTAATCCGATGTACAGTATTGGTGGCAGTACAACACCATAGGCTTTCATTAAAAAGGAGGCCTGAATTACATCATAGAGACTTGAGATTATTAAATATGAAAGAATCTGGACTCAACTTGTCATGTCTTTGTTTCTCCCCCAGCGCCCCCTACGTTCACGGACACGCCACCGCAGTACGTGGAGGCGAGGGAGGGTGGCAGCATTACTCTGACCTGCACTGCCTTCGGAAACCCCAAGCCGGTGGTCACCTGGCTGAGAGAGGGGGATCAGCTGACCAGCAACAAGAAATACACGGTAAGTGGGTTGAATTCTCTTTCTTAATCAGCGTTTTTGACTTGTTTTCCACTGAAAATATGTGAATATCCTGAAAACAAGATCAGTTTGCTTGAGAAGAAAACTACATGCATGTTAAGACTGTATTTAATACACTACTGTTCATAAGTTAGGGGTCAGTAAGATTGTTTAAAAAAAAAAAGAAATTAATACTTTTATTTGGCAAGTATGCATTACATTTTTTAAAAAGTGACATTAATGTTGCAAAAGATTTTAATAGAAAAGAGCTTTCTGTTCATCAGAGAATCCATTAAAAAAACATCACATTTTCCACAAAAAAATATTAAGCGGTAACTGCAAACTTTAAAAGATAACTGCAACTTTTTATCTAACAATTTGGACTTTTTTTCTCGCAATTCTGAGAATTGCAAGATATAAACTCAGGATTGCGATAAACTTGCAATTCTGTGGGAAAAAAAGAAGAAAAAGTCAGAACTTGGAATTCTGAGAAAAAAAATAAGAACTGTGAAATTTGCAATTACCTGTTTGATTTTTTATTCAATGGTGGAATGAATTGTGAGATGTAAACTGGAAAAAAAAAATTGAAGAAATTCAGAATTGTTTTTTTTTTATCTCGCAATTATGACTTTCCCCCCTCAGAATTGCGAGTTGTGAGATAAAAAGTCACAATTATGTTTATTATTATTATTGCTTATAAATCTTATTATTTATTTATGCCGTGGCAGAAACGGGCTTTCATAGTTTTCAACATTGATAATAATAAGAAATGTTTTTGAGCACCAAATCAGAATATTAGAATGATTTCTGAAGTGACACTGAAGACTAAAGTAGTGATGCTGAAAATTCAGCTTTGAAATCACAGGAATAAATTACATTTGGAAATATATTAAAATGGAAAACAGTTATTTTAAATTGTAATAATATTTCACAATATTACTGTAAACACCTTGGTGAGCATAAGAAACTTATTTTAAAAAATGGTGAGGTTGATGCAAAAACCAAGAAAATAAAAAGAAATGAGATGAAATTAAACTTAATTCAATATATATTATCTGAATAAAATTATATGATATATTTTAATAAGACAAAACCAATTGTGTGTGAGAGAACCTTTTTCTCTGTAGTTTGAGCACTTTCGTTTTGGTTAGCTGCTGCCTTAATAAAGTAGAAATTGACAATGTACTTTTGTCTCCAAATAAAGCCAGTATGAATTTAGTCTAGCCATGAATTTGATCCGCAGTGAATTGTACTGTCTCATTTGGAAATGGAAGCATGAATCATCACTAGCTATTTGTAAGAAAAGGCTCTGTCAGTCGGGGCCCGCGTCGGGGGTCTGACAGTTGAAGAGCACACGCCTGCAGTGGGAATGGAGAAAAACTGACAAGCGTGTTTCCACCTAACACTGCATGCGGGCTGCGAGGGAGGAGGCGGCGCAGGATTTGACAGAACAGGCAGTCAGTCTGGCTCCAGTAGGCATTGCCTCTCAGCACATCAGAGGAGCGATCCCTGAGGAAACAGACAAATAAAAGACAAGAGAGACAGTGTAGCCGCTTCTGTCTTACATCTGAATGTTCACGTTCACCTGTTTTAGACTAGCCACCTGCAATGCCTTTGTTAGCCGCGCTCATCTTGTTCCGCATTTCCCAGCGTGCTTTTGGTCACAGCTAGCATTTACACAAGGCGTGTTTGAGTGCCATTTGCCGTATTCTGCCTGCCACTCTCGCTCACCGGCGATTGATGAACAGGAAGTGATGGCTGGCTGCTGTTTTTCCTTCATGACCGCTCTTAGCAAGGTTATTCTCCAAACCCGTAGCTGCTCTTCTCCTCCTTCACTCCACGGCACTGCAGTGTATTCCCTAAAGGTCACGTTTGTGATGTCTTGCAAGCTGTTTGACGGGTGAGGAGTGGAGATGGTGCAGAGCCTGTGAACCACATAAAAGTATAGGCATGTCCTTAGCATGTGCTTGCATTATATAACAAAATAGCAAACACGCTGGTATTTATTCAAATATATTATAAACTTTTCAAGGAAAACATTCAAAATTATTATTTAATTATTAATTTATAAATTGAAAAGATTATTTGTGAAATTTTGTAATTAAAATGTTAATTAAAATAAATATATATTTATAAAGAATATAGAGATTTTATTGTATATATATATATATATATATATATATATTTATAATAATTTAGGAATTTATATCTTATATTAATAGTAACATAAGAATTTATAATAATTTATTAAATATAACAAAATGAATGTTCATTTGTATTTTCTTTGAGAAGTTTATTAAATTGTTACATTTATTAAAATATTGATAATTATTGTTTTAATTGGAATGTTATTAAAACTATTATTAATTAGCATGTCTTAGCATTATGTAACAAAATATCAAACCCAGTTGCATTTATTATTGTAGCAAGCCTTTCAAACAAAACATTACAAAAATTTATTAAATTATTAAATGTTTAATAATATTTCAAACTAAATATATTAAATTGTTACACGTAAAAAGTTATAATTTATTACAATTATTGTTTGGATTAAAAATGTTATTTAAATTATTATTAATTAGAGAAACAGGTGTTACCCCTAACGAGATAAGGTAACGAGAGGGGCGGGGTAACAATAGACAATAGAGCACATGGCAAACATAATTACCAACTGACAGCCATGTGCTCCAGACAGACCAGGACACAACATAAACAAACCCAGATCAGACCGGAGCCTTGACATAGTATTAAAAGTCACATTCGTATTACAAGTTTATATATAATAGAATGCTAATTTTTTATTTAATTTTATTAGATTTTTTTATTTACGTTTTTATTATTATTATTATTATTTGTTGTTGTTTTAATAAAAAATACATTTATTGTTACTTAGAATGTCTTTGCATTTACAGTGGTGGCCAAAATTGTTAGAACACCTGACAAATCTGAAAATATTGACCTTTTTTGCCTCCAAAACATGATTTCATTTCATAATGTTCATGAAACATGCAGATGGTTGCTCTGAGCTCTGAGTCGTACTGTTTTTATCCACTTTTAACTTTAAAATTTGGTATGTCCACCTTTTGCAGCAATTACAGCAGCACATCTCTCTGGCATAGTGTCAATATATTTCCTGAGAACTTCAACACTAATGTTATCCCATGCCTTCTGCAACTCAAGCCAAATGATTTCCTTTGAATGTACAATAGATCTGTCCAGTTTATTTTCCAACTCGCCCCAAATTTGCTCGATGGGGTTGAGGTCCGGACTTTGAGGGGGTCAGTCCATCATTTTCAATATTCCAGCAGATTCCTTCTGTCACAGGTAGTTCCGGCAATAGTTCATTTTATGGGTATTGTAATGACCAGTTCAACAAAAACAACTTAAACCTCTTAAATATGCCAAGTGTTCTAACAGTTTTGGCCACCACTGTATATAAAATATCAAACAAATTGGCATTTATTTTAGGTAGATTACCAGCTCGTTTTAATTAAAAAAGTATTTTAAAACATTAGAATTTATTACATTTTTAAATGCCAAGTAGTATTATATGAATGTACAAAACAAAAGACATGTTGTCCAAAAAAAAAAACATTATTTAGACTTAAACATAGCTTTTTATGAGTGGCTTAAGTGTGCAAAATAAACTTTTTTTGGGGCCGTTGTATGCTTAATCCCTGACCCTCCGCAGAAACAATCCCACTTGATTTTTGTTAGTGAATGTGAATGCTGGCAGAACACTAGGAAATTCCACATCACATTTAGTAAATTGCCTCACGGGCTGTGATTAATCTTGATTCAGCTGCAATTAGATTGTATCAAATCTATATTAAATTATTTCTTCTGTAGGGAGAAAGCACTCAGGTTCGGCTCTTACTCTTAAAAGCCGTTCCCACTGCTAACCAGCCACAGTCCCAGACATTTACTCAAAAGAAGTGTCGTGACCTCACCTTTGAGAACAGTGGTGTGGAGGCCGGTGGTCCTCCATTATTTTCCCTGCTTCCATGGCTAGAAGTTAGAGAAATGGAGGAATGCGGTGAAGGAATACACACGCTAAAGAGCAAGAGGAACAAAAGTCTCGTCTCGATGTGCAGAGCTTGTTTTTCACCCTGCCCTCCTCCACAGCAGTGTGTGTTTAAATAAAGCTCTCCGCACACACACAGTGCTTGAGAGAGTTTATTACCTGCTCTCGTCTGGGTCATCAGTGTTACGTGTCTGTCAGCAACAGGATGGTGATGGAACAGGCCGGAAGGATTGTGTCAACCGTCCAGCAGGACTTGACACACCTTGGGATATTGTGTGGGAGGAACATTAAGGCCAGTCTCCTCTGGCTAAAGCTATCGACGTGCAGGGAATAAGACTCGACCCACTCCCCTTCCAAAACGTCCCGTCAGGAAACTATTTCATGTCTTCCATGTGTTGTTCCGGAAGATGCAGCTGCACTTTTAATCTCAGTTGGGGATGCTGATTTAATTTGATTGATTTGTTATGAACAGTGGTGGAAAGAGTACTGAAAATATACTCAAGTAAAAGTACCATTACCTTCCAAAAAATGTAGTGTGAGTTAAGAGTAAAAGTACTTGTCCAAAAAACTACTTGAGTAAGAGTAAAAGAGTAGCCTATTTAAAAGTACTCATGAGTATTGAGTAGTGAGTACTGAGCTGTGGATTCTACCCCCTCATAATAAACGCTGTACACCGCAATTGATACATTTGAAAAATGTTGTACATTCTGTAATTCACATTATCTTGTTTGTCATAAAGAATGACGAATATCTATCATCCAGCAGTTTTAATTTTGACTGCCAACTCTTTAAAATACATCAAAACAGCACGGAAACAGTAT